GGAATACTTTCCACAGAGAGCAAGTGCTTAAGAAATTGTGTTTCACCTATGTAAGAAATGTAAAGGAAAATACCCATGTAGATATGAATTCAAACATTTCAAAGAAAATAATCATTTCTCTTTTGCCTATATTACTGAAAGTGTAATTTATCAGAAAAAATATATAAACATCAAGACTTAAATAATTCTCTAGTAATACATACAAGGCTCAATATCTATACTTCCAACCTAGGAAAAGATTAGTCTTATGTTTTGCCTAACATTAGCAGGAAATCCCTACTAACTTCTCTGATATTCTTGTATCTGGACCTCCAAATTAAAAAGGAAAGAAAAGAATTAATAGAAATTTGTTCCACTGTTAATCCCTATCATTTTGTTCTGAAACCCTGTATCCTTCTTATTGTTTCTGCTCTGTTTTGTTTTTGTCTGTGTTGTTGGCATTTTACTATTATTCTTTTTAAAATTCTCTTTAAAATAAAATAAAAGAAATTTGTTAAACATTTACATCCACCCAAAGGGAAATCATGCCATGGGAAGGGCACTGCCTACATGTAGGATAACAACAGAACACTCATCAAAATCTTTTCCTTTCAATTCCGGACAGACCTGAAAGTCCCATTAATAGGCTCCTTCACAGACTAACAGCAATGCGCATCTTAACAGGGTTGGGTATTGGTCTTGACACATTCTCTGGTTAATATTTTAACTCAGATTACTACCTGACAGCATGAAATTTGGCTTGAGATTGCCCATATTGTAGTCTCATTCCTGTAAGCAGTTTTCATCTGGAGGATTGCTTATTCTCTGAGTATCTGTTTTTTATATATAAGATGCTGATTTACAGGATTAATCCAAAGATTAGTATAAGATAACTTTGTAATTTATGACACATTGTGAAAATATAAGGCCGGCAGTAGTTGATGAATACCAAAGCTAGACTGCTGGGTGAGTTTTAATTAAAGCCCCGGACTCTGGGAATCCTCCTCTGTACCTTGTGGGATGACTGCAGCATTTACCTGACAAGATTTTTGTAAGATTTAAAGAGAAAATGTGTGCAAAGTGGTTAGAACATGACCCACTGCGTAGTAAGTTCTAGATAAAGAGAAGATGAAGATGTAATAATGGCTATTAACATCATTAACATTATTGTGTAGGCAACAATAAATAGAAAAAGAATGCGGCTTGGAAGTCAGACAAATTTGAGTTTAAATACCCAGCCATTGAGATGTAAAGCAAATTTCCTAACTCCTCTGATTCTTGAGTTTCCTCAAATTTAGGTTAAAGTATTTTAGTCCTTGAAGAAAATTAAAAGTAGATTGAAATTTTATTTCATTTTGGCTTTTATCTCAGAAGTGAAGCATAGTAATCAAGAACTTTGGATTCCAAAGATTCAGAGTTGAATATTTTGACTTAAAAACAGGCTAATAGCTGGCATTTTTCTTTACATATGAAGTCTTTTTTTCTTCATTAGAAAAAACATGTACCTATATTGAAGGATTAAATAAGAATAATGTACATAAGGTACTTGGTGCAGTGCTTGACATTTAGTTTTCCAAACTGGTTACTGACAAGGTCATGGTCACCCAGGCTTTCATTTTAGAGCAGCAGGAAAGGCGAGCACAGAACTGACCTCTCTGAGTGAAATGAGGCGTGTGTCACTGCTAGAAAATGTGGGCATCGGTCTCGAGAAGAAAGCTCTAGTTTGGGTGTCCAGCATGACAGCTCCTCAACAGCCAAGACTGGAGCCAGACACTGATCACCAAGGCCAGGAAGAGAGAGACAACAAGGACCACAGTGTCTGTATCTTGACAACCGGAAGCTTGTAGAAAGAGCAAGTCAAAGGCCACTGCCACACCTCAAAATAAGCATTATTTTCCCTTGCATTGTTTGTCAAAATTAACAATGGTTGAAGTGCAGGCAGATTGGAACCTTACAACAGAACTCTGGTTGAGTCTACCACTAACTCACCATGTGAATTCTTACAAAAGTATGGGCCTCAGAGAAGCATAGTTGGCCTTCTGTTAAATGCCGCAAGACCAGATGAAGCTACAATCTCCTGCTCAACAGTAAATAAGATTTACAGACAAGAAGAATCACTTGTAGTAATTCCACCAGATAAAGGTCAGTCTCCACTTCTCAGACCTTATGTTGAATCGAAAGCTGAGCTGAGATCCTTCATAGCGAGCCTCTAACCAAGGGTGGGTGAGAGGGTGGGGCAAATGCTGGAGCCCACAGCATCTAATTAAGCAACCAAATACTATCAGTAATCAGAAAAATATAATATCTCTCCCTGGGCACAAGAAGCCAGAGATAAGGACATGAGTTGAAGAGACTGCATGATCAGGAACACAGATACGAATTCAGGCACCAAGCCAAGGGAAAAAATCTGGGTGCAAGGACAAGTCAAACCAGGCTTTCAAAAAGGGTGAAAAGGAAGGACCTCAGCCAGGCTCAGAGGCAGGAGTGAAGGACAGTGAGGCAGATTCCTGCACAGCAGAGCTCTGGGGACTAAGATCACATCACCTTCCACCAAAGTCGCATTGCCAAGACAGCCCATTCACTGCCAGGTGTTTTGCCTGTTTCCCTAACCAACTCACTAGGCCTGAAATGAGAACCCCAGATTTGGCATTGGCTTCTTTTATTGCTGTTTCATTCTGTCATTATGTATAGCCTATTGGAAAGTTATGATGTTATAATTCAAGATGTGATACTTCTCCAAAAGAACAGTAACACCTATATTACCTTTTTGGATGGAACTTTCAAGTGTATTTCATATCATTGGTCAAAACTGACCTCATTGGGGCTGGGGATTTAGCTCAGCAGCACAGCGCCTGCCTGGCAAGCACAAGGTCGTGAGTTTGATTCCCGGTACCAGAAAAAAAATCAAAACCAAAAAAAATAAAATAAAATTGACCTCACTGAGAAAAGTTTTCCTTTGATTTGTCAAAATACTCAGGTGAAAGTAAAACTTTATATAAACATACATATATGTATGTATGTATATATGTGTACCATATACCATGTTGTTTATAAAATTTTAAACATTTCCAAATCCATCACTAATTAGAGAAAAGAGTCACATGATCACTGATAATTTTCAGCTTCTCCTTGTTTTAATGTGCGTGCTCTGACAATAAAATCCCATCAGGGAACTGTGGACTCAGAACCAGAGGGACCTTGGCCAAACTACACCCAAAAAAGAGGGAAAACCTCTCTTGCTTTGAGATAGAGGAGTCTTTCTTAATTTTCAGTTATCCTACAAATATGCATTGAGCAATACAACTTTCCTGTTTGGTCTATTGTCTGAGTGGCAAAAAATATTTCTCCCAATGCTTTTAAATTATTCTTTAATTTCCTTATTTCACAGTACACTTCCATATTTGATTTTGGTGTCAAGTCAACTATAAAAAACTAAATAAACAAGGGCTTGGATCTGAAGAACATAATTACCAAAATGATGCCCATGTATGAACCAGGGTTTTTTGATTTATTGGAGCTGTACTGCACATTTAAGATTATTTTTTGATTTCCAAATAATTAGAATTATTTGAGTACTGAAATTCTAGAATTAATTTCAACAATCTATAAATTATATGCCAAAACTTAGACCTCAAACTTAAAAAAAACTCCTTTTGAAGGTGCTAAACCCAGCATTGCATGATTACAACTACACACTGCTGCATTCCAGGAAAATATTAACATTTTATTTTAAATAATTTTAACTATGTCTTTCAGTATTACAGAGCTACTGAACTGAAAAGCTACTCCACGGAACAAATACATAGGTTTAAGTAGATTTCATGTCAAAATAGCAAGAAAAGAATAGATGATCTTTACCTCAATCTGATAAAAGCCATCTACGACAAACCAACAACCAATATCATACTAAATGTACAAAAACTGAAATGTTCAATCTAAAAACAGGAACAAGGCAAGGATATCCACAATCACCACTCCTATTCAATATAGTTTTGGAAACATTAGCCAGAGTAATTAGACAAGAGAGAGAAATAAAAGGAGTAAAAAAAAGATAGGAAGAAGTAAAATTATCATTATTTGCAGATGACATGATACTCTACATCGAAGTCTCAGCAATTCCTCTTCTGATATTCTTCCAGAAGTAAAAACATCATACTGCAATGATATATGCTCACCCATGTTTACAGCAGCTCAATTTGTAATAGATAAATCTCAGAAACAACACAAATGCCCATCATCCAAGAACTGAATAAAAATGATGTGGTATTTTTATACAGTGGAGTACTACTCAGCTATAAAAAACATAAACTCAAGACTTTTATAGGTAAATGGATACAACTAGAGACCATACTTATAAGTGAAATAAATCAGACACACGTGTTAACTTCATGTTGCCCCCCCAAGTGTAAGAAACTGAAAAAGTAAATAAGATCCAAAATACAGAATAAATATTGTGAAAGGGAAAGAAACTGCCCAAAAGGAAAGAACAACTGGGATGGGGGAAGAAAAAAAATTTATACACACATAGACAAAATTGCTAAGATAACTATACTACTAATTTCCTTTAGTTCATTTAAAGGGATGGCTGTGCTTATATTATTTGATAAGTTTTTTGCATGCCTATATTCTGTAAGTTAAGCAACTACTTTGAAGATAACAATATGCAATATAAAAACGATTGTTAATGTCCTATTAACCTGTTTTGAAATTCTCTATCATTGTTTTTATTGGGGTTTTTTTTTGCTCTTTCTCTTTAAAATAAAATAATAATAAAATAGCAATAAGGTTTTTTGTCAAGAATGACATTAGAATGTTTCAAATTTTTCAAACAAATTCATGTAGGTCATCAAAAATCAAAACTAACACCATGCAAATGAAGCAATCAAAGCAGTTTTGTTCTTTTTGGAAATGCTTATGTCGGCATTATTTTTTTGTCTAGCCATCCATCAAACTTGTCAGATCAAAATTACCCTCTGACAAACTAAAATTAGAAGATTGGCATTGCAAGCGTTGGTGCTCACGTGGAACTCTCACGTATTACTGGGAGAGCGGGAAATGATGCCGCCGCTTGGCGGCCCCTGACACTGTGTATGCACCTACCCTTTGACCTAGCATATATGTGCATGTCACATTGCTGTACTTCATCACTGTTGCTCCGCACTGAGATAAAAATGAAAGAGAAGAGTTGAGAATAAATTTGAGGAGAGGAGGCTGAAGTCTCAGAAACAAAAGTGACGACCACCTATGTGCTGTGGATTCCTGTGTGTCTCTTGTCTTCGTCTAGTGCCCCCCCACATCATTTAGCTCATGAAAGATCATGGAGAAGGTAAATTTCCCCATAGATACCAAAAACAAAGAAAAGCAAAACTCAAAATCTCAACATTGCAAAAGATCACAGCTGAAAACTGCTCTTAATGAAGATTGCTGCTTTCATCCCAAACTCAGTGAGGCTGATTAAAGTTGTGTCCAGGCTGGGATGTTTGAACGGAAACTTAGATGATTCTTATACATCAAGATTTGAGACAACTTCAAGTGAAAATGTCTGTGATACATGAGACAGAGCTTCTAAAAATTCTTTCAAAAGAAATATTTTAATAAACTTTCATAAACTTACAAATGGTTAACCTTTTAAAATTTATTTGCTAAAAATTTTATGCCCTACACAATGCCCTAGTTACTAAGTGTTCACTGGTGAACAAACAGATGACAACCCTGTCCTGCTGGAGCATTGTATTTTATGTTTCAAAAATACTCCAAATAAATTTATTCACCACTTTAGCTTAAGGAATTTTATTGGAACAAATGGCAGCAAAATGACAGTCTGAGGCTCTAAAAAAAGTCAGTGGTTCCCACACAAGAGACATTTGACAATAAATTTTTCAATTGCTGCAACGGTAGGGAATAGATGCTACTGGTACCTAGTAAGGAATGCTGTTAAACATCTCCCAGCAACAAAACTCAAACTGCTCCTTGTGTCCAGGTTGGAAAACCCTGCTCTTACAGATAATGCTTATAGAAGATATGTGGAAATAAAAGGAGGTGGGGAGATGATCTCATCCAAAGAACAGTGAGAGGATGATGCCAACTCAGCATCAGTAAAGCTAATGTGTGTCCCGCAGGCAGCGGGGACTGCAAACAAGTCGACTGACAGGAAAGTTTCAGTAATTGAGGAAAACATTGAATTTAATCAATTCAATCCAAACTCTACCTATTACTCCTAGCCATCAAAACTTATGGATCTTAAAGAGAACAGAAATTCAACTGAATTTTCTTTGAAATCTGGCTACCTAGTTGAAAAATATGAGTTATCCTTAATAAGCATTTCCTTTACTCTCATTGCAAGAGGACCTCCATATTTTTCACTGGGCCAATGGACACCCAGAATCGAGATTGTGTTTGCTGCGTCCTTTGACATTAGGTGTAACGATATGGCTAAGATCTCCATCATGGGCAAGTTGTGTTATGTTAAGTTAAGGTATGTTGGCAAACAAAATTAATCCTTACAAATGAAGGCCTATCCCCTTTCTTTTCTTGCTTCTTAACTGCTGGATGATGGATGTTATGGTTTGTTCTGGATGTCCCCCAAAGCCTCATGCAGTCATGGGGCTGGCTTCTAGAGTTTATGACTGATTCATGGGTGTGAGCACTCCACCCGCCCTGGAACAGATAGTTTGCATACAGTGTAAGGGAGAGAAAGAGGCTCTTGCCACCTTTCCTCCCTTTTGTTCTTGCTGCTTTTGCTGTCTTCCGCTGCCATGAACTGTTGCCCTCTGCCATGTGCCACTCTGCCTTGTAGACAGCTGAATATGGACTGAAATCTCCACAAACTGTGACCTAAATAAACCTTTCCTTCCTTAATTTTAGGTGTCAGGTACTTTGTCTCAGCAACGAGAGAAAAGTAACCAAGACAATGGAGCAATAGGACCTAAGATGAATCTGGACCAACTCTACAAAGCAAAACTAAAATATTATCTTACTGAAGCACATATATTAATTTGACAATGAGAGACTATAACTGTAAAGTAAATGCAATTCCATCATCATGTAATTCCACCTATGTGTTATTCATTAGCCTACAGAATAGTACATCATTTTATCACTTGCATAGAAACTTTCATTTATTTTATTCAGAATCCTTAAATGACCCATTTATAAAGTACTAAAGAAAATACAAAACTGTACATTTAAAAGTCATGGCAGTTATGTAAAACTATGAATTATGATATATACTGTTTTTCTTGTACATTTTTTATTTCACAGATCAATACCAGAATATGTTCTTTTAAAAGTGTATGGGTGTAGCTCACTATTCATCACATTCTCCTATGAATATTATTTAATATTGGCAGAACTTTCAACCAAAATATTAGTTGAATATTTTTCTGGCTTGATAGAATTATTGAGAGTGATTTGATATTTGTTCTTTATTCAATAAAATTTGTTAGCAGTGGGCTATTTTTCAGTTATCTGTTAAAGGTAGGTGAGCATTACCATTGCCTCAAATTCTTAGTCAACACTTGCTGATTGTAAATTGTTTTATTTACATCACATACTTCTGTGCATAAAATTTGACCAGAATCATCAAGATGATAATTTAAAAATCTAGTCATCCTTTACTTCTACACTGAGCACCAGTATGACAGCTCACAATCTCTGATTTATGGCCTAAACAAAAGGATTGTTATAGTCACCATACTTCCTGATTAATATAGAAGTTAATCAGTTAGCCAATTGCAAAATCTTTGTACATTTGCTATTTGAATTCCCTATGCAATGCTGATGTATAGTTGTGAAGATGACATTGTGAAAAAAACCTTCTGTGAATGCTATTGGAGTCATCATCCATGCATTATTGCCTTGAAGATATAATTATCTTAAATCACATTCTAAAACTCTATATTATAATAATATGTATGATTGTCATAAAATAAATGTTTTATTTTTCATAGTACTGGTATAGAGTCTACAAGGTAGCATTCTTTCATTCAGTTTAGAACCAATCTAAAATTATTTAAGGAACACTGCTATTGTATTAGCATTCATCAAAATAGAAATAATGAACTGAAAAGAATAATATTCAGTTGCAGTTCACATTTCAAATCATTTGAGATTTCCAAACCACGTTGGCTTTAAAAATGAGAAATACTTTTTAATTTGGAGAATTTAGTTTTATTTGCAAAAGATACTCATTTCACGAAGCAGGGATTTATTGATCAAATACTTTGTGTCAGTCATTGTCTGGGCCAGTGATTAACGTGGGTGAGACCCCTGATACAACAGAGCTCACAATCTAGCATTTGTATATAAACTGGATGGGCATATATTTTACTATTCAAGCCAAAGTACTTTTGAGAGTGAAGGAATTTGCCATTAATAATGATTCTGTCACAATTAATGTGATCCAATATCACCCTAGGAAAACTGTCTTGACTGGTCACCTTATTCAGTAATACGTTGAGATTTAGATTTCAACTTTCAAAGTTTATTTAAATTGCAGCATCTAGTATATTAAGAATAACATTCTTTTAGTTATTTATAAATTTTAAAGACCCTAGAAATTTAATTCCATTCTCAGTTGAAGGAAGGTCAACTGTGTGACTATCTTTTCACCAGTTCTGGAGACTATGTTCATGTTTTTTCTAGAATTTTGTCATTCCATTTTTCAATGACACTCATAAAAAATACCCTTATATCCTTATATGTCTCCCTGTAACATTAACTTCTTTCCCTTATTTCTTTTTTGCAAGACAAATAATTTTTGTCTAAACAACACTTTTCAAGCATTTGAGCACAAGTGCTAAGGTTTTTATTTTTATCATTTTAATAATACTAAAGGCCAAAATTGATCATTTAACTCTTAAGTCTGATAATAAAAGTTTTAGAAAGTGTGAATCTTGGAAATGGCCTATATGTGCATGAACAGATAAATGGATAAAGAAAATGTGGTATTTATACACAATGGAGTACTACTCTGCCATAAAGAAGGATAAACTTGACATTGGTAAGAAAATGGATGCACATTGAGACCATAATATTAAGTGAAATAAATCAGACACATAAGTTTAAATATTGCATGGTTTCCCTTATATGAGAAACCAAAACAGAAATACAAAGCAAAATAAAAGATAGTTAATAGTCAGCAGTGGGATAGATCTTCCACAAAAGGAAAGAGGGCCAAGAGATGAAGGGAGGAGGGGAGGAGAGGAAGGAAAGGGGAGGAAAAAGAATTGAGATGTATTGTGTACATTTACCAACTCCCCCCAAAAATGTAATCATTATCCTTCAAAATTCAGCTATGGGGAAAGCAGACTTGTAAGCACTGAACCTGGACATACAGCTGAACAGATTTTCAAGCAAAATGCTGCAGATAGAAATTGGTTTATTCTTGATCTTTGAAGTAAAAATATACGTAAAATATCAAAGGAAAGAAACAAATTTGGGAGAAAACTCTTCAGCACAAAGAAATAAAGACGAGATTTTGAGAAACCCAGCTCTCTGGACTGCAGAAGATGATAAAGTAGCAGGGGACTCCCTATCAGAAAAGCATGGTCTAGAAAGGAAGTCAAAAGCCTGACTGGGCCACCTTTTACCCATGCATTGGAAGAATTAGAAAGTCACAGTATACACTCACACAAAAACACTCTTTCAGAGATTGTGTGATTCCAGGACTCCCTCAGCTATCTCAGTGGAAGCTAGGAACAGAGGTGGGATTTTACCAGAAAGGTCAATGGAGAAGACTCTTGACTAATGGAGTGACAAGCACAGAGGATCCACAAGACTCTTTAGAATTTTATGCAGGAGAAACCCGGCCAGTTTAAAATGAAACAAACAGAGAGGATGAAACAGAAATCTGCGGGACTCTCAAACTTACCACGCAGCAAACAGGCTGGTAACACAACTCAGCTGAAATCATGCACTGACTTTCAGGACAAAGGGAGGATGACCAACCACCTTTCCATAGAAGCAGTGGGGCTGCAGGCCCAGAAGGTGAAGTCCCAGCCAGAGAGTTACTCCTGGACCTGGAAACCAGATGGATTTTCCTACATGAATCTCTAAATGCCTTTGTACTGTTGGCTACTTTTTTCTTTTTCACTTTCTGTCTTTGTGTGGGACTGTCTGTAAATTTTGTAGTTATGTAGCAATGTATTTTTCCATGCAGC